CCTACTCAGCATGTTAACATTACTTTACTATGTCAATGCCTGCCCGGCCATTCCAAATAATCCGATAAATAGTTTTTTATTTTCTAGTTTTGAGGAACTCTTTCATTTCGTAGGCTATCATGCTTGGAAAGGATTATTTTCTGAAGTTTTGAACTTTTTTGCTACTATTGTTTGGAACTATAATGATATCTTAATAATGTGTATTAGTGTCGCATTATCAGGCAGGTTCAGGCAGTTAAACGAGTATATGGCAGTCGCACTAAGAAGGGTAAAACTAACAGCTTAGACTTATTTTATTATGATTTCATTTTATTTCAATTTATCTCATTATTTATACAATAAACTTTTTGCTAATACTATTAACAATCTCATACAGCCAACGTCTGAAAAATTTTGGATACGTAGTCGGGAACATTACAGATCACTTTGCCAATTGTGTGATAAAGTTGATGATGCCGTATCATTCATTACACTTGTTTGCTTCTCTAATAATTTATTTTTTATATGTGGAAAAATTTTGAAGAGTATTCAGTATGTTTCTGATTTTCATATGTTTAAAAATCACTGCTTATTAAATTATTTAATTAATTTTTATATCAACAGGAAGAAACCTTCAATAGCACATACATTATATTTCTGGTTTGCTCTGTTCTATCTGCTTATACGAACGTTTATACTCTCACTCTACACTGCCGAAATTAATGACGAATCGAAGCAACCTTTACGTATATTTCGAGCCGTAAAACAAGATTCGTGGTGTCCAGAAGTTAGTATGATTTATATCTAAAATGTATATAATATACCATAATTTCATTAAACACTTATAATATAATTTACACACTTTGATCGACACTTTTTAAACATTCATTAGTTTGTAGAATTTGAATAGTTTTTCTTTAACTGTTGTAGTTAATCAATGAAGAAATATATACCTTTGATAATGTTAAAATAGCCAGTGAAACTTTAGATTAAACAGTGAATCAAAAATATTTCAATCATAAATAATTATTATGATTTGGTTTCACTTAGAATCTTTCCTATTTTCTATTCTAGAAGACAAGCCTTCTAGTTAAGAAATGATGTATATAAGAATACTGTTTCGACAAGGAATCTTACAAGCCATTACTTTTCTTTAAAAGTATTTTTATCAAAGCTTCAAGCAATTTTTAAACATTTACGAAACTGTTCTTTATGTATTGCAATGAAAATTTCAAAATGTGTTGAATAATAACGATACTAAATTATCGATTAATGGTTGCCATATAATTTCAAATTTGATAAAGACATTTTATATAGCAAGTATTCAGAACTAAAAATTTGAAGAACCCGCTTATAAGGTTCTGCATTATATTGTGTTGCGGTGGGAGATTTGAAAATAATCTGTTAGTATTTCTAATGTACTTACTTACCTAAATGACCATAACAACCTGCTATTGGATTTCTGTCTGATGCAGCACTTTTTTCATGGACATGGTCTATATCTATTTCTTTTTTTTTCCAATTATCTTTTCAAATACCTTTTTCACCGGAGTGTCTTTAACCATTCTCACGACTTGACCAAGCTAGCGGAGTCACTATATTATTATTCACTGAATTATATCAATATCGTTATAAAGCTCATACAGTTTGTGGTCATAATGACCATAACAATCGGTTACCGTGTTTCAGTCTGATGCAGCATGTCTGTCTAGATTCCAATCAGTGTTCCCTTAATTTGATCATTACACTAGAGACACGGTCTATCTCTTCGTCTTCTTTCTCCTACTATCACTTTAAATACCTTTTTTGCTGGAGAATACTCATCCATTCTCACGACATTATCAAAAAAGCAAATCACTCATCACGTATGTTTATGTCAGTTATATTTTTTTTGACTTTTCGTCGCATCGATATCTGGTACTCAACGATGGTTATTTTTTTTAAATTTTTTTGTTTCCGAAGTTATCTTAACTTATCGCTAATTTATAATATTAATTCCTAATTTATTAGCAATATTTAAATAATAATAAAAATGTACTGTTTTTATTGATTGGCATTATTAGATTATGGATAACAAAACAGCTAGTATTAATTAGTTAAAAATTAATTTCTTAGCAACTATACTCAATTAGTTAATTACTACAAAAGTAATCCTTCCTTGGCTGTGTCCAGTAGCCTCTTGTCTATGGTCTGATTAGTAAAGCTTACTGTTTGTAGTTAGTTTTTTCATCGAATATGTAGATATCCTCTACCTCGTTTTTCATTAAATAAAATATAGTTATAGTGTTTTTATATGTTTTTGTCGCTATATAACACACATTCCTCATAGTTCCATTTAACTCAATAATTCTCACCTATGCTTACAGAATCGTATATTTCCCTAATAATATTAGTATTGAATTCTCAAAATGCTTTCTCGTTACATATTCCTTATAGTTTCATTTATCTCGATACTTCTCACCTATACTTATAGAACCGTATATCTTCCTAAAAATTTTACTCTTGATTTCTTCAATTACTTTTTCGTTACATATTCCTCATAGTTCTATTTATCTCGATACTTCTGACTTATGCTTATAAAACCGTATATCTTCCTAAAAATTTTACTCTTGAATTCTTTAATTACCTTCTCGTTATATATTTCCCACAGTTCCATTTATCTCAATACTCCTCACCTATGCTTATGGAACCGTATATATCCCTTGGAATTTTACTCTTGAATTCTCCAGGAATTTTACTCATAGTTTGTTTGTCGGGAGATTTATTTCTTAATTGTCTACTATACCTAAAGTAGCGCCTATTGGAAAAGTGAATCTTCATTTAATGTCTTGCCATATAATGTCTTTCACAGCTTCTTACTAATAGTTAACAATCACAGCATGAGTTCGAAGATGCTCAGGAGACTCATTTGTTGACAGAAAATA